AAATCTGTATAATATATGTATGTATGCACACACATATTTATGTTATATAGATAGATAGATAGATAGATAGATAGATGGATAGACAAATAGATAAACAGATAGGTATATGTATATATTATATATATATATATATATATATATATATATGTATATATATATAAATATATAAATATATATATATATATATATATATATATATTATACATGTTTTTGTGTGTGTGTGTGGTGTGTGTGTGTTGTGTGTGTGTGTGTGTGTGTGTGTGTGTGTGTGTGTGTGTGTGTGTGTGTGTGTGTGTTGTGTGTGTGTGTGTGTGTGTGTGTGTGTGTGTGTGTGTTTTATTTGGTTGTATTTAACTTACGGTAAGGTACATTACAAGGCACTTAAAATCCTACAGCAAGCTACATCCATCTCTTTTTTCTCACCTAAAAGACTGTCCACATTGGAGAGTAATATCAAGCCGTAATTCAGATTTCTTACACGCAAATTTGAATAGTTTTGACGACGCTGTCATGTCGAATAAGTTTAAAAATATATAAAAAGTTCATAAGCCTCAGGAGAGCAGATTAATTAACAGACGAAACACGAACATCTAATATCTTTACACCTTTGCATTTATTTTTCTATCTTATTTTGTTAATATTAGTCATTGAAGGTGTGAACATAAAATATAATTTAACATTCCATTTGAGATCTTTGTTTCTTAGCTTAGAATTTGTGAAATAAACAATTAATGTTCAGTACAAGATTAGAAAGATGTACATCCAAACCACGAGGTAAACAAGGCAAAATGTAAACAGAAAATGACATCTTTGCACAATCTCAGTAATATGATTTGACTGACAATTTTCCACAAAAGAACAGTTAATCATGAGCAAGTAAATAATATATGCATAAATTAAGCTTTTGTTTTGTCTTTAATAATTGCAAAAGTACTTTTGCTAAGAAATATGAAAGATGTGAGTCTTGTCCTTTATGTAAACAAACGAATGTAAACAAGAGCCGTCAAATTTTAGACCGAGAGAAAATGTAATTTCCCGTCTTTTAACATTATAGGAAGCATGATACTGATCTAAGTATGGGAAAAGGAAAGCTGAAGAATCTGCGTACCGTTTGGATTATGAATCGATATATAAATGGCTTTTAGCTATGTCAGTTATGGGTCTTCCCAACGTTTCTCAGGCGTAAAGCAAAACGTTTTTTTTTTCTTCTTAGTTTCGTCGTGTTGTACCTTCGTTGTATGATATCGTTGTCTTGGTTAGCGTGCTAGAATGCTCACACAAACAGATTTTCTCTTAGGATTTTTCAGATTAAAAGGGAAAAATCAGAACAAATGTTTGTGTTTTATCGGGAATGAAATACGGACTAATGGTGTTTTATGCTAACTAAAATGCTCGACATTGTAAAGAGAAAGCATTTTGATACAATGTAATTAAAAAATCAACTGGCAAAAGCTGATTGGAGTGGATATACATATGCGACAGCAACATGTATTATTTACAACTTAATAGACAATTCTACTTTTTCGTTATTTCCTTAAGATATTCATATCAGCAATTGTGTATATATTCTGATACAGTATACAAAATCCATCTTATGTCTTGTAGCAATGGTGATTATCTCAAAATGATATTTATAATCACTGACCAGTATGGAAAGCAAGTGATCTATTGAAGCATAACAAACTGGTGCCAGAAATGCTGAAAAGCAAACTAATGTTTCAAATCAGTTTGTAGGAGTCTGTGCCACCCTTGTGCTACTTTTGGTGCATAACAATCAGTGATAATTATGCTATGTAGTGCACTTGAGTTTTACATTCTCTGGTGGATCACATATATAATAAAGGATAAGGAAAGGAACTTATACTAAAATTTTTGAGGATGAATATGAATGATACATGTATAACAGATTGTTGATATCGAAATAGTAGATACTCATTCTAAAAAAAACAAAAACATAAAGCCTCCTTACTTTCTGCCTCTACAGAGGCCCAAAAAAATTCACATTATAAATAGCCATGAAGTTTAATCTATTAGAATGTACATGCTGGTTTGCTGGTCATTTATGTAGTGTGAGGCACAGAAATCATGGCATCATTTGATGCATAGATCCATAGATTTTAATAAATTTAGGGCATACCTTTATTTTGTGCAAATTATTTTTATTATATACTGTTTGCATATATGTTATGAGCATTTCATTATATTTTAAAAATCTCTTTGTAGTCTTGTTCTAGATAATTACTAAGTAGTGATTATGATGACAAGAACTATGATGGTAGTACTGATGATTTGGAAAAAAAAGTCAAAAGTACTGATATTAAAAGTAACTAGACAGGATATAATGATACTGAAAATTATAAACAGTAAGCTAAATAATGATAATATTTCATAGAAATTGCAGTAATGATGTCAACAGTATATAATGATAAAGTTATTATACTTAAAGAGCGAAATAATGTCTTTTTCAGTTTTTAGGCACTACAAGACAGCCCACTAACCATGGGGGACCATGGCCGCAGAAATGCAAAGAAGCCCCCAGATACTAGCCAGGACACACCCTTAATGACTCTCTTTCGTGTGTACTCTAAAGCCCTGGATGAGAAGAATGACAAATATGAACGTATTTACAAGACCAGCCGTGATGTGACAGTACGCAGTAAGAGGGTCATCTTCTCCCTTCAGAGAATACCTGGGTAAGACTGAAAGCAGAGGCAGAGACAGGTTTATTTACAATGATTTACCAAATTATTGATTGTGATTTATTTTTGCCTATAATTGTTGTGGATTCTGTAGTAAGTTGGGTTTTATTTATTTACTATTTTCCCCTGATGTATGGCACCTATTAGTTTTTTGTTTGGATAAGTATTATATAGAATTTTTTTAATGGATATATCTCTCAAGAAAATATCCCTGGATATTTCAGACTGAGTGAAGAGGAGAAGGAAGCATTGATGGTATCAGCTACAAATGAACTGCATGACATTGAGCGTACACTCCTAAAGCATATTGCCATGGAACTTAGGGATGAGGAGCCACACCAGTTTGTTAATGCTTTTACTTCAGGTAAGGAGAGAAGTGGGGGAAAAGATGTAATCACCTTTATTTATTGATGTTTAAGGTTTGGTAATAAAGTTACATGTATTGAAAATGCTTTAACTTTGAAAGTGATATTTATTGATTAACCTCACAAAGGTGGGATACTTTCTATTTCCTTTCATGTCCCAGGGGTTAAAAAAGTACCCCTCATCTCTAAGAGCCACAGTGTCTACCCTTGGCTTTAATTTGCTGTTGGGATATGAGTAGAAATACTTAACATTTCTTTTTTGCAGCTTTTTCTGCTCTGTTTTCAACAATTTTCTGGTTACATACAAATAGATTGTATAATTCCTTTATCTCAGATTTTATTTTTTTGTCTTTATTAATTGTCCTATTTCATTTTCTTATTCTATTCCTGATTCTCAACAGGATTTGTGATCTCATGGTATGATGATTTTGTTTCTGGTCTTTTGGGGGGGCCACAGATCTTTTACAAACATCTTTACAAATATCATAAAACTTCTTCAGCATTACTGAGTATAGGGTTTTAGTGCCTTTAAGTGCTTCTTTTAATCATTTATTTATCATTAGGCCTGTCAAAAAACAACAACATTTTTTTCCTGCATTTTTTCAGTATCAATGATATATAGGAAATGTTCACTAATACATCTGGTAATGTTTGGCATGTTCCCTCCAGCCACATTCATCGAATCATTCCCATCCCTTATTCCCTTGTAGACCATATAGGTCAACAAACAGTTGCATTTCCTGTCTCTTCTTGTGAATGTGATATAGTATGACAGTTATCTGGTACTGTAAAGCATATTTCGTACAATCAACTCCCCCATTTTTTACATTCTCACATTCCCCCTAGACTCACGTTCTGTGGTGTCTCTTTCCAGACATCATAGATATAAATTTTGAAATTCATATTAAAAAAAAAAAGGGTTTCTTTCATGTTTTATCTGTTTACATATTCAAAATATCTCCCTTTCTTATAACATTTCTCAGTACTAGGCCTTATACTTTAGCCTTTGGGGTATACAGTCAAGGAGTTGGCACCAGGCATCATCAGACCTCAGCATGCCTGTTTCTTTTTTATTATTTTCAGAATTTGAGACGTACATGCATCTAAATACACATTATATTGTTTTATATGACTGAGATATTTTGTTGCGGTTGCTTTATATGTTTTATATTTTAAGGTAATATGTCCCTATTTTCATTAATTTGCAAGGGGTGACTGAGATAACTTTTGGCATATGATAATTATATACATTTTCTGGTTAGTAAGATAAAAATATGCCCAAGTAAAACTTGAAAAAATAGGATTTTTTGTTTCAGGGAGTGGTGGACAGACAGCTGTCACAGAGCTGCCCAAGAACCTACTGACCCAGCATGTTTGACCTCTCACTTTCTGATTCCATTTCTCTTTTTGGTTGTTTGTTTTACTTTTTTCATTATTATTTCCTTATTCATTCAGTTCCTTGTACAATGTATTTATTGGTTCATGTGCTTCCCCCCCCCCCTTCCTCATTGCAGGTAGGGATGGAAAACAGTCTATAATGTGTTTTTCCTTCTGTGGACATTCCAGAATTATTTTTTTATGGATTAAAACAAGAATAGACGATAAGTCACACACGGTTTCTTTACATAGGTATCCAAGAGTACATTGAGGCTGTGTCCTTTCACCACTTTCTACTGACGGGGACAATTATCAGCCATGAGGAAGTGCAACGTCGTGTAACCTTTGGGAACCAGGAGGAAGACCAGACGGACTTAGTTCCCCTCAGTGTGCTTGTCCAGCCTAAGGAATACATCTTGGGAATTGCTGATCTCACAGGGGAGCTTATGAGGTTCTGCATCAAGAGTGTGAGCACAGGAGACTTTGAGAAATGCTACAAGATCTGCGAGGTCCTCAAAAAGATGCATGGTGGCTTCCTTTCTCTTGGTTACATCCCAGCCAAGGATCTCTACAATAAGGTCACTGTTTTTAGGTCAAGTCTGCACAAGGTGGAAGAAGCATGCTACTCACTGCAGCTGCGGAAGTCAGAGGTGCCAGCGGAAATGCTGGGTGACCTCTTTGCTCTCTATGATGCAGATGACCACAGCACAGGATTTATGTAATATACTGAAGCAGCTGGATCTTTGTCTTTTCTTCCATGTGCACACAAGATTTTTGGATAAGCTTCCACAGAAACTGATTTGAATTAAAGAACATAAAAAATATGTGACACACTTTGTGGCTTTATTTTTGATGCGAGAGATTACAAACTAAATTGACCTTTATTTAAGGTCTTTGTATGTAGTTAACCTTGTTTTTAAATATTTATAGATGTGATATGATGTCATTGCTTTTTCTTTGTACTTAATGATATTGTATCCCATATGAGTACAATTTATTTTATTGATAGTCAAGTAAGTTTAGGAAAGAGAAGAAATTCAGTCATTCTATAGATTATTATTTTATCTTTTTGACATCAAATAATCAAATCTGTGATCCTTGTATTTCATATTTTATTTCTGAAGCAAATTATAGTGGTTCTGACAGCACTTTTTATCTTGCTAATATTGTCTAGTTTTGCAAGTCCATAGCCAAACAGTTTTCCTTCTGTAATTTTAGTTCAGTATAATAATTTAAGAACTCCAGAATGTAAACTTTTTATTACAGTAATAATAAATTAATATATTGATAGCAACTCTGGTCTTGTCAGTTCCATAATCATGCTTATTTAGGAACCTGTCTTCTCTCCTACCGAAATATAGTGAAATTAGTACAATTAGGGTATGATAAAGGTATGTAGAGACATTTATAACTAATTTAATATCAGACAAGGTTGATAGAATAATTTTATCAGTATATGACACCTGAATAAAAAGCAAATTGTTCTAGTTTGTATTTCTTTTCTGTTTATATTTCCTTTGTTCTTTTTTATCAATTAGTTTGTTGAAAAATCGAAAAATTGCCTACATTAATAATCTTTAAGCAATCCTTACATTAAGAAAGAGAGTTGAATTATATACTTTTACAAATATTTTCAGTGCTTATAGTGTAAACCTATTATATTTGCAATTACCTGCTTTGATCCCATCCCCCAGTGGTGCACAATTATTAAAATAAAAAAAAAGTTTCTAAAGCCCAGTTTCCATTGGTCAGACTGAGCTCCCATGAACCAACTTCTGATATTGATACCATTACAGTATTTTTACCTGGGTTGATACACCTATTCTGGCTTCAAAACATTTTAAACTGTGGTCACATACTATGGGTACAGAATGCTTTAGGTCTGGCCCCCTGAGTCCCCTAGAAAACATACCTAGGCCCACACAAAATGGAAGTAATCACAGACTTAACTCTTTTAAAAGGGGGTATCTCTATCCATGCCATGGTAAGACTGGTTGCTTTTCCGAGTGGCATGTATACCCATGATTTATATCCTGAGCTTGTTCTGTGCGCTGAACAGTTCTCTTGTTTGGCTGTTGTTGCAGGAGGATGCTATAGCCAAGGTCATTGAGGATAGGAAAAATTATGGGTTTCTTGCACTTCTGATTTTTCCTCTGTGTGGCATCCTTTATGCAGTGCCTAGTGCATGGTCCAGTCTGGTGCTTCAAGCTCCTGTTAGCACTGGGTTATGCCATGTCCAAGAGTCACTTAAAGGTATTAGAATCCAAGCTTAAAGCTAAACTGTACCTGGGACTCTATGGCTTAAAAACAAACATGCAACTGATTGAAGGTGGAATGAAAACAGCTGTAAGTGTGGTATGATGAGACAGATTTGTTTATTACTTAGAGAGAGAGAGAGAGAGAGAGAGAGAGAGAGAGAGAGGGAGGGAGGGAGGGAGGGAGAGAGAGAGAGAGAGAGAGAGAGAGAGAGAGAGAGAGAGAGGAGAGAGAGAGAGAGAGAGAGAGAGAGGGAGGGAGGGAGGGAGGGAGGGAGGGAGGGAGGGAGGGAGAGGGAGGGGAGGGAGGAGGAGAGGGGAGGGAGGGAGGAGGGAGGAGGAGGGAGGGAGGGAGGGAGGGAGGGAGGGAGGGAGGGAGGGAGGGAGGGAGGGGAGGGAGGAAGGGAGGTAGGGAGGAGAGAGAGAGAGAGAAGAGAGAGAGAGAGAGAGAGAGAGAGAGAGAGAGAGAGAGAGAGAGAGAGAGAGAGAGAGAGAGAGGGAGGGAGGAGGGAGGGAGGGAGGGAGGGAGGGAGGGAGAGATAGAGAGAGAGAGGGAGGGAGGGAGGAGGGAGGGAGGGAGGGAGGGAGGGAGAGAGGAGAGAGAGAGAGAGAGAAGAGAGAGAGAGAGAGAGAGAGAGAGAGAGAGAGAGAGAGAGAGAGAGAGAGAGAGAGATTGGAGGAGGGAGAGGGAGAGATGGAGGGAGAGGGAGAGATGGAGGGAGAGGGAGGGAGGGGGAGGGAGGGAGGGGGAGGGAGGGAGGGGGGGGGGAGGAGGGAGGGAGGGAGGGAGGGAGGGAGGGAGGGAGGGGGGAGGGAGGGAGGGAGGGAGGGAGGGAGAGAGAGGGGAGAGGGAGAGAGGAGAGAGGGAGAGAGGGAGAGAGGGAGAGAGGGGAGAGAGGGAGAGAGGGAGAGAGAGAGAGGGAGAGAGAGGGAGAGAGGAGAGAGGAGAGAGAGAGAGAGAGAGAGAGAGAGAGAGAAGAGAGAGAGAGAGAGAGAGAGGAGAGAGAGAGAGAGAGAGCTTGTACCTTTTACTTTTCTTTTCTGTTGCCATAATTTGTCTTAGTCTTAGCTGGCTGTCCTGTTATTTCCCTTTGACAAAAGGTTCAAAAAGTATTAAAAAATAAACCATGTACTGCTTTCTTGTGATATGAATTTATTAGGCATATAAAGAATGCATCACTACTAAAATAAATATTTTTAAAATGTTCTAAATACAATTCAACAATCATACATCAATGCTCACAAAGTTATATTTCTTGCATGGGTATTAGGATAAAGGAAAATCATCATCTTTCAGGCAGATAAGGATATAAAATCTTCATACAGCTCATTTAAAATAACTTTAATAATATTAAATGTTTAGTATGCTATGTAGTATTAGCAAAACATTTATTTATTTTGAAAAAAAAAAAAAAGCTATACAGTTTCTTGATTAAAATCTTTTTTGCTTTCCACTCTGCATGTGAGTGTATACATGTGAAAGTGTAAGTGTGTACTGTATATGTATATATGTATTTGTGTACCTGTGTGGATGTGCATGTGCTTGTCTATTTGGATATATAAACATGTGTGCATATATATACATATATCAAAAACTTTATAAATGTTACATCTCACACACAAACTCTTGATACATTCTCTCATCCTAAAATCAATACCTTTGATAAATACACCTGTCACACAAGATTTCCTGCATAAAATGTAAATCTACAGCCAGCTTCTTTATTAGTTCTGCTCACATATAAACTCGACGACTCTCTGTTCCATCAGTTCAGGGTCACAGCATCGCACGCTGGCTGAGGTCACTACCTCATCCAGCAATACATTCAGGACACTAAAAATAAAGGAAGTAAAGTTTAATTTTAACCAATATGTGATTTTGACAAATAGAAAGGAATTAAACAATTTGGTAGAAACAAAACTAAGTAAATTGATTGAAAATAAATTCATCATTGTTATCACCATTACTGGGTTGTGTTGCCATTATAACTTCTGAGATATTATCAGCTTTCAATTTATTATTACTGGCCATTACTTATATTGATCAATTTCATCCATTTTTTCACCATAGGTTATGAGACTTCTAATACACAAAAATAAAAATATGAATATGATAGTATATTCATATGACCATTTAATACTTCATAACCCTTATGATCCGGATGACATGACCACCACACCATGAAAAATTTGGCTTGAGGGGTCGGTGACATGAACATACTGTTATGGGAAAATCTGGCTGTGGGCCATAGTAATGTGAACTTGCCATTGTGAGCATTTTGGCTGAAGGCTGGGCTGACTAGAAAGACTTGCCATGAGTGCATAAATCTCTTGAAGGGTGATAAGACTCATTTGGTATTTAAAAAGGGTCTTTTGCATTATTTCCATCAGTAAATGAGTGTGGAATGTAGTGATTGTAAGCCAGGACTAGAGGAGAAAATTAAGTGTTATAAAAATGTTCTTATTGTTAATATTCTTGCACCAAGTTAAGGACCACCTAGAGAAATGATATGGAATCTGTGCAAGGAAAAGAGTCTACTACCATCTGGATAGAGCAAATCAAATGACAAATATGAACATTGGAAATGGCAAAAAAGCTAAAAATGCTTATGCATAAAAAGAGAAAATAACATTGCAAGGGGATGCATACTGTCTAATCACCACTTATGAGTGTTTGTGTGTGCACAAGTGCCCGGATGCTCACGTAAAGTTAATGCCTGTATTTCAGGACATATGATTGCAGCCAAGCATCCAAATTCATTGGGTTAACAGGAGAAAATTTAATTTCTTAAAGTACTCTTTTTCCAAGCAAGAAATGGGTGAAGTAAAAAAAGAGAAAAAGAATTGGAAAAAACGTAACTATCTAGCATTCTATTGAGATTCATGAGACATGAACTGACTAATCCAACTTCCAAATGACTTACTGCTCATCAGCCACATAAGACCACAGATATGTGCGCAGGTAGTGAGCATCGACCTGTACTTGCTGAAGTCCGAACCGGCTAAAGTCCTAAGGCGCACACTCTCTAGTAAAGTCTGAAAGATTAATGAACACATCTTATTTGAAACATGAATGATGATTATTGTTACCATTGTATTATTTACATATCTAAGAATATACTTGTCCACTCACACATAAACATAATCACAATTTGACATTCTGTTTATGTACTGTACTTGAAGAGGGATCTTGAATCACTGAGTTTACATTATGTGTAGTATTTCCATCAGTTCTCACCCCTCAGAGGAGCTCAATTATCACGTACTTAAATTTTTCATTAAGAAATTTACCATTTCATTTATGTGAAGATCTAACAATACTTTACTGCAAACCTATATGTAATACTCTCAAAAATAACTACTAACCTTTATATCATTTGTTTTTTATTTTCACTCCTTTTTTTTACACTAATTCTGTTTCCTCTTCACCTTCAGACTAATTTTAACAATTCCAGTGAGGATGGACACCCTTGTGAATTCCACTGGTGCAAAGATCTCAATCCTCTCAGACCAGAGTTTGTTGAGATTGGCCACCAGGCTGTTGTCGAGCTGGCTTGGGGTATATGTTGACCAGCCTGATCGCCCTCCACCGCCCCCTCGAGATGCACTCACACTGTCCGTAAAGTTTTTTGAATTTACGATTGTTAATCAAAAAGCCTCATGATCTTTTGCTACTCCTTTCTTGTTATTACTTATGATTAATGGGGTAAACCAAACCTAATACAATCTTATAATCACATAAATAATTCTGCTGTCAAACTATAAGGGGGAACACTACCTTATATGAGTTACCAGGCATAAACAGTAAGTAAAACATCATGCTACCTGTGGAAAGTGCGTCTAGAGGAATCTGATGATCTATCACGACGATTTCCTTCTTCATAAAGGGCTCCAACCTGTTCGAATATCATGTTTGTTATAAAACAAATTTAATATCTGCAGTAAAAAAAGTGCTTTATATCACTGGTTTAATGAAGGATTTAGCAATGTCAAGACCAGATAAAAAGAAATAGGAAGAAAACACATCCTAGCAAGGCTTTTCTAAAATGAACAATAAAAAAAGTTTATTGAAATCAAACCCTATTCAGAAATGTTTAACTAGATGTACCCCATACTGTATTGGTTATTCTCTTACCTGTGTGTCCATGGTTGATATTTCCTCCAGGACAGTCCTCATGACCCTACGCACACTGCGAGGCTCCACATCCAAGCCAATCCTTGAGCTCCACGCTGCGACGCAACATCTGTACAAGAGAGACAGCATTAGGATATGGTGTTCTGTTCACTATATTAAACTAATGTGTATTCTTTCCACCACATATATAATCTATCAAAACCATTCTCCATCCTTCTCAATTCACTCAATGAACCCAACATACCACAGAAGACCCACCTGGCTAATAGATGATCCCTGAGTGTGAACATAGTGGTTTAGTAGCTTTTGCCTGCCTCCCGCATGCCGTCCGTGATGGAATGGAGGGGTGTCAGACCCGTCTTTTCCTCCAACTGTAGCTGTTCATCACAGTGGCTCAGCTGTGTAGGAATCAACCAAATTTCCATAATCCACAATTTAAAAAAAATATGGGATAAAATTTTAAATGAAGCAACAAAAGTCTGGTTTTTATCACCTAATGTAAACTTTATATAAAATATCTATTATACAATACTGTACCTAAAAGGAGGAAAAGAAAACCCCCTAAAAAAAAAAAAAAGTGAAGAAGAGAGAGAGAAAAAAATAATAGCAACAATTACTACCAAAAATAAAACAAAAATAATAATGCCAGTCATAAGGTCAAATAATTCTTAAACTAACCAGGTAATGCACAGTGGATGTGTGGAGGTCTAGGCACATCCTTGACAGCACAAGCAGCAGGACAGGGTCCTTATCCTTCTTGTGACAGAACTGTAGGAGCGTGTCAGTAATGTGCAAAAAGAAGGCCACTACAACACCTTCTCGCACCAGGTCACGGCAGAATTTGCGGCGGAACTCAGCCTTAACAGCAAAGGTATGCTTGGGCTGTGTAAAGGCCTTTGAGGGAGAGGAGAGAAAGATGGGAAGCATAATATTAAGGAGATAACACTAATTATAAAATAACAGGTATGATATAACATAATCTGAATGTGAAATTGAAATATAACAATCAGAACCAACAGAGAATTATAACCACAATACTACAGTAACATAATAAACTACCATAATATTAAATGCAAAAAGCAAAAACCAACCTGCAGAGCAGTAACTTTATCCTTGATGGAGGCCGCTGTGGAAGCCACAAGGCGTGTAAGGTGCTCATTGAGTTGTCGGTGTGTGGACTCTGTCCCATCCTGTGTGGGATGCCTGGGGGCTACAAGGGCATGCCGAATGTCTCCCAGGCTGGATGCTAGGCCAGATTTCAGCATTGCCAGAGATGACTGGCACCTGGCTGAACCTGCTTCCAGAACCAGGCTCAGAGCTACACTATTTATGCAAGAAGGGATTGTCAGAACAGTTTGTGCCTTTAACCCATACTTGATAGTGATAGGAAAATTAAACAATATACTCATCATATGTGAAAGAACAAGATTGTAAACCATCTCATGAAAACATGAAGTAATTCAAATGCAAGTATCAGTACTTAAAACCTGTAACTGTTTTTTTATAAACTAATTTTTCTTATATAAACAATATACAATAAGAATCCACATCTTATGGAATAAGAAAGATGTCTCAGGAAAGTCCTAAAACAAGTTATTAACCCTATCTATTCTCTCAGGATCTCAAGAAAATCTTTCTGACTTACTTCCCAAAGTCTGTGTTAGGAAGCAGTTGTGTGATGGCATGGAGACGCCGATGGAATTTGTCGAGAGCTGTGGTGAGCTGCCCATAATGGCCTACATCTGGCTCACTGGCCACTCTCACTCCTACCACTGCCACATACTGTTCAACCAGGTCAGCTACAAATACCCGCAGTTTCTCCATGGCCACATTTGACGACCCACTTTAAGGAAAAAACGGGAAAAAACATAACATTAATACTTTATTTAGTTTGTCTATAAATTCCAAAGAAATTGACAAAATGTTACGAACAGTAAATTGTGAACACCTCTTAGTATTATCAATTTACTGCAAGTCTGCAATTTATGAACCTGAAGTTTGTTACCTTCCTCCTTCTTCAGGAGAGCGCAGGAACATTTCCTTATAAGATGAGATCACAAGCCATAGGTTCCCTACAAAAGTCTCATGGCAGACATCCACAAACTCCAAGATATCCTGCAAAAGTCACAAATGAAAATGTTAGTGGTCTTGATAATCAAATATATGTCTTTGATATATGTTTCATGATGAAACATATATCGAAAGAAAAAAGGTATTATAGTAAAAAACAAAATAGATAACATCACAGGAAGTATTCAACAAATCTTAAAAAATTATGAAGGAGTTACAGAGAAGACATCTGATTCTGCTTACTAGATTTGCCCCATCCGAATGCTGTCGTCTCCTATTTCCTCCCGTCCGAGACCCTCCTTTGTCTCCTCTGCCTTGGAAGTCTCCTCACTTGCCCCTTGCTCAGTGCCCTCCTCTTCCTCACTCCCTAGGCCTCCAGCTGTCTCTGCTAGTTTGGTCAAGTTGGAGAGGTCATTCTCAAGCTTGGTCCGTGCATGGGCCAGGAAGTCATCACAGAGTCCTTCTGCTGGTTCTCCTAACTGCAGCAGCAGGTCAACGCACTCTGTCAGGTGACGTGCACTCACCTGTAATATATAAAGCAATGTTAAAATCATAAATCTTAGTTATCAACAATCTTTAATAGGCTAAATACCCAACCAATAAATTCTTTTTAATCTGAAAATATTTGCAGAATATTTCAGATACAACAAACAAAAACACACAGTATTAGTAGTAAAAACACACCACACACATACACACACACACACACACACACACACACACACACACACACACACACACAAACCACACACCAACACACACACACACACACACACAAAAAAAGTATAAAAAAAAAAAATAATAATAATAAAAAAGCAACATTATGCTCTCTACCTCTTTGAGTGCCAACTGCTCTTTCAGAGCCTGGTTAAGTCGACCAACTGCTGCTTCACAGTCCTCATGGATGGCACTGAAGGACGGAAGATGGCAATAACGGTGAACCACTTCTGCTGTTTCCACATAGCTGGCCACACCCTTGAGGAAGAAGGACATGGTGTTCAGGATATATTAAGGATGCTGTTTTACTTCAGTGATAGTTGATCAATATCAAACTACACCTATTTTCAATATGTTACACACACACCTTTTTTCACTGAGATTTTTTTTTTTCATTTTGTAAATAAAAGCACATACAAATACTTATTCAGTGCACATGTACAAATGTGCCCATACACCCTAAGCTGCAACAATCACTTGCACAGACCTACTCACCTCGGCAAAGTTCTTCTCAGCAATGCACTCGTCAATCTTCTGTGGCAGGTGGAACAGGAACTCCAACTTCCTCAAGGTGCCATGGACACCCAGAAGGCGACTGAGGTGGCCACGGCGTTTGGGAGTCAGAGTAGAAAGGGAAAAAGAGAGAACTTGTTAAGAGAATGGTTTGGGGTGAAATGATAGTAATGGCAATTATCATGATAGAGGGGTGCTGGGAATAAAGAAAAGGATGAACAGGTAGAGACATCACAAGAAAAAAAGTGAAGAAAAAAATGAAAAGGAGGAAAGGAAGCAAGAAAAGAAGAGAAAAATAAAGCACAGCAAAGGTGGAGATAGTGGGGTGAGAGAAAAACAGGGAGGATATGGAAATGAAGAAATTGGAAGAAATTGAGTTGGAAAAAAAACAAAAAAACAGAGGAGAAGGGGTGCAAGAGATTTAGTTAGCACATTCAAAGTGAGAGTGAGAGAGAAAAAAGGCAAAAGATGAACCTTTCTCTTCTGACCTGGAGAGCTGATGTGACTGAGGTTGAGGAGGCAATGATGCGTGCCATGTTCTCCTGAAGGCGGCTGATCTGAGCCTCCATCTTCACTGAGCCCTCCTTCATCTGTGAGGAACATGAAGATGAATAGTTTCAACTTGGTGATTTTATTGTAGGTATTTTCCCACCACGGTACTGTGATACCAAGTATTTATTAAAATCTTTATCAATTATCTATGCAAGTCTCATAAAAGTGTTTCTACAGTGTTACTATCATTCAGTAAAGACAATTACTGGTATAGACCCTAAGGCAGTATAAGTACAATACCTTGCGGACGATGTCAGCAGCAGCAATAAATTTGTCATAGTGGTCATAAACAAGAGTCTGGCAATCAGAATCCAGAGACTGAATCTCCGACACTAGTGAACTTTCATGTTCCAGGAGTTGCTTCAAACTGCTCTCCTATGAAGAATATGTAAGAACAAAAGCTGTCATTAATATAATAAAGCAACTGAAGAGATTCATAAAAAAAATATTGATAATGAAATTCATAAAAAAGTATTGATTATGAAATTCAAAAAAAATATTGATTATGAAATTCATAGAAAGCACAGTAATATAGACGAATCCAATCCAATCCATAATCTATTAATTTGAATCTTAGAAATCTTATTTCCAACTTACATTTTATGAAACTAAAAGTATATAACTCTGTATTCAATCTTTCCTTCTCTACTATCACCCATCTCATGAAAACACTAAATATAAATAAACAAAAACACTCAAAATTCAGAAAATCTATCCCTCATCTCTCTATTTAGTGTCTTTTTTTGTACCTTGAACACCTTCTCTTAATCTAATACCTCTGGTCTGGCTAAAACACTGTCAGATTAAACTCCCGAGTTCAGGAAACAGTGCATTTGTATTCTTGCTTTATATGTCCAGATAAACTATTGGTTTGTGCCTCTCATACAGATATGTATATAATATGAGGTCCTTGTGTTCTAAATTCCTGCAAAAGCATCTGGGCAATAAGGTTCAAAGTCTAGCTATTTAGTATTTAGATGTATATAACCATGGCATAACATGCATGCCCAGTGCATATAAAATACCAAAATACCTACCCTCAGAAGCACTGACTTATCATAATTATATTTCACCAAAGTTGTACCGATGTTCACAGAACAATGCCATACCTTAATGGTCTTCTGGACATACATATCATGATTGAAGTGCTTTGAGTTGATATCATATGGCGTGTCCTCCTTCCCTCCAGCGCCATAAAACTGGAGAAGTTCTGTTCGTCTCCTGCGCTCATTTTTTACTGTCTGCAATAAGGTTCAATTTACAGATGTACAATTTGTGCTTGCTAATTTTTCGCTTAACTCATGAATAACTCATAAAAACGAAGGAAGTGAAAGGAAGTAAGACATTATAAATGAAAAAAAAAACATTAGAGAGAAAGTTAAATATCTTATCCTTAAATCTTTCATGGAAAATCAATGATTGTTTCTGAATATCAAATTAAAAAATTAGTCACTAAATTTTCGTGGCATAAAATCACTAAAATAATATACTACTGATAATCCGAGGAATGAGATGTCACGACTATGGAAATTCTTATGAAAAATATATCTGTTCATATTATAATCTTCTATAACGACCAAAGCTCACTATTGCATCGAAAATGCAACTAAAAAAGTGTTAAATACTACACCTGTAGATGCCATAACAAATGACAGGTGTACCTCCGCCCTTTCATTCACAACATCGGGCTGTGATGTGTTGCTTGACGCTTCACTGCGACGGCTACCATCTTAGCCCCGGTTTCCCTTTGGCTTTATCGTTATCGATCTAAGATGATAATGAAGTTATTGGTAGTGAAGGTGATGATGATTTTATTATCAATTCTATTACTATCATCATTATCATTGCTGTTATTATCAATATCATTATCATTATTGCTATTATCATTAGCTTTATCATGATTGATTTTATAATCATTCTTATCATTATCACATTATCATCTTCATTATTACTGCTAGTAGTAATAGAAGTAGTATTATGATTGTCATTATAATTACTGTTATTATCATTATCATGATAATTATTGTTACTGTTACTTTCCATAATCATTATAATCAACATTTTTATTACGAATATTATCATTATCAACATTATCAATACTGTAATTATCATCTTTATTACTATAATTATTATGATTACTATTATTATTATTACTATAACTTCTGAGACTATTTCATTGCCATTATCACTGTTATTCATTTTCTTATTCGTATTCTCATATTATCATTATCAATACAATTAGCAGCAGACAAAAATTGAGCGTCTAACGGTTTGCATACAATCATATAAATCTTTTTAGATTTTTAATAAAGAAATTCAAACTGGAATAACTTTCCAAACTGTCTGTCAATTTTCCATATAGGCAAGTATACCTCTGTCTATCAAGTTATTTCTATATATTTATCTATCCATCTTTATGTCCATCCACTTTTATAATTTATTTTTTTCAATCTCATCAAAATTCACTTCTGACTCAAAATGCCAAAGGAAAGGTGCTCATAGTATTTTTCCTCCATATATATTCTGCTTTCAACATCCCTAAAATCATCTCGCTACTTGCAAAAAGTCCTACGTCAATATCTGTTTAAAAATTTTAACCAAATGTTACACGAGCGCCCCCCCCAAAAAAAAAAAAAAAAAAAAATTGTGTTAAGATCAGCCATTCGTTCATAACCTCACATGATTGCGAAGTAACTTTCTAGATCAGTCTTTTTGGTCTTTTTGCGGCTTAAGAATGAGGGTCACTAAAGGAATCTTAAATAAAAAAAAAAAATTTCTTTTCAATTCCATTTGTTACAATGGATATTCTTTGCTGTGACAGGTGTCTGTTTATTTGCATCTAATTTCTCGTGTGCAAGGAATGGCCGAGGTTCCATCATGGCAACACACGGGAATAGGGGATTATGTAGCCAAGGGGTTGTACAGGTGAGTCAGAACTTGTAAAAGGCTGTCAAAAAGGTGAATAGAGCGTCCCGTCGATGTGTGAGGAAGCCTTACGAGGAACCCTCATTAGATTTGGTTTACTTCATCCTACGAGGTGGGAGCAAGGAGTGGCTCTAGGTGAGCCATGTTCTCTGACTCCAGGTTATCAATTTTTGAATTATGTGAGTGAACAGGGGATGGGGAAGGCGAGAAAACTATAGCCCAGTGCCGTTACGAACGTTTAATTACACCCATGGGATTTGAGACACACGTTATATGAAAGAGGTGGGAGAAGGGGGGGGGGGGGGGGGGGAGGGGCGTTACTACTGTTAAGTTTCCGGATATTTTGCCGAAATTCCGTTAACTGCAGACTCGGTTCATCTCTGCTACATCATGGGTGACGGTGAACATCTTCCGAAGAGCCGCCTAACAAGAGATAGGCTCTCCAACATCTGAAAGGTATTTTTTCCGTGTCTATTAGAATTGAACTACCCGACAGACCATCTATGACTGCCACTCTAGTTAAATTCTTATAGACACAAATTCTCTCTCTCTCTTCAGAGGAGGGGAGGGGAGGGGAGGGGGGGGGAGAGGGAGAAAAATGAAGATGAAGGGAGGAGGAGGAGGAGAGGAGAGAAGAACAGGAGAAGGGAAGAAAGAAGAAGAGAATGGGAGAGGAGTTGGAGAAGGGAGGAGGAAAATGGATGGAGGATGACGGGAGGAGGAGGAGGAAAGTGGAGGAGGAGGAGGAGGGAAGGGGGAGGAGCGGGAGGAGGGAGGAGGAGGAGGAAGGAGGAGGAGGAGGAGAGGAGGAGGAGGAGGAGAGAGGAAGGGAGGGGAGGGAAGGGAAGGGGAGAGGGAGGGAGGGAGGGGAGGGGAGGAGGGAAGGGAATAGGAGGAGGAGGAGCAGGAAGGGAAGAGGAGGAGGAAGAGAGGAGCAGGAAAGGGAAGAGGAGGAGGAGGAGGGAAGGGAAGAGGAGGAGCAGGGAAGGGAAGAGGAGCAGGAGGAGGAGGGAAGGGAAGGAGGAGGAGGAGCAGGGAAGGAGAGAGGAGGAGGAGGATGAGGACGAGGGAAGGGAAGAGGAGGAGGGAGGGGGAAGGGAAGGGAAGAGGAGAAGGAGGAGGAGGGAAGGGAAAAGGAGAAGAAGGAAAGGAAGGAGGAGGAGGGAAGAGAAGAGGAGGAATGAGGAGGAGGAGGATNCTACGAACGCCCCCCGCTCCCCTCCCCACTACACAGGGCACGCAGGACATGGAGAGAATCGCATCTCAAAAGGACGCGTCGCTCAGGGAATCGGCCAAGGGTCTCCTCGGTCTCCTTGAAGGCTCGTCCTCGAGGGGACAGGACGGGATGAGAGGTGTTGGAGGATTTGGGGAAGAGGGGAAGCGTGTTTTTTGTGTGTGTGGGGGGGGGGGGAGAAGGAATGGGAGGGGGATGGTGGTGATTATTATTATTGATGCTGATGATTGATGATGGTGATGATGATGATGATGATGATGGTGAATGATGAATGATGATGATGATTTGACGATGATAGAAGAACGAAGAAGAAGAAGAACAACCAACAAAACAGCAACAACAACTACAACGCCGACAAACCCCGCCCTCGGCCCTCTACCGTGCCACAGAACCCGGTAAGGCACACTTCAAACCTCCGCAGACGAAAGACGAAGAAGAAAAAAAGAAAAAAACTTATCTGGAGCGCCTCAAGTCACGAGACGAGAGCCCCGCCATTGCAACCCTGCAACCCGACGCCACCGAAGAGGACCACAGGACGACGTTGCAGAGAGGAGAAAAGATAAGCGATAGAAAAGATAGAAAAAAGGGAGAGAAAAATACTGCTCCTTGAATAAATAATGTGATGCCCGCTGGATGGTCGTATCTCCTCCTCCTCCTCCTCTCTCCTTCTCGGCCTCTTGACTCGAGAGATTGGGAGATAGGTCGAGTGTCGGCGCTCTTGGAGGATTGGGGAGGGGGGGAGCAGGGGAGAGAAGAGAGGGGAAGGGAGGAAGAAGAGGGAAGGCAGGGAAGAAGAGAAGAAAGAGAGAGAGAGAGGAGAGAAGAGAGGAGGAGAGAGAGAGATGAGAAGAGAGGATAGGAGAGGGGAAGGGAAAGAGGAAGGAAGAGGAGGAAGGAAAAGAAGGGATAGAAGGTAGCGAAGGAATGAGGGATAGTTAGGTGGGAATTACGGAAAGTAAAGTACGAAAAAAAAAAAAAACTACAAAATGGGAGAGAAAGTAAAAGAAAAGCATCCAGCGGGGCGTACTGGCGGGGCGGGGCGTGGAAGGGGGGGAGGGAGGAGAGGTCGAAAGGTAGGCGTGACATCCGAAAGGCCTAAAAAGCGAATATCAATCAACGAAGTAGACAAAGGAACGAAACTGATACTCGATGACGATCCAGGATATTAGCAGGTTCGAGCAGGATGTGCAGGGGGGGAGAGGAAGGGCGACAGACAGAGGACGAGGCGAGGAGGCGAGGAGGAGGAGGAGGAAAGGGAGAGGAGGAGGAGGAGGAGGAGGAAGGGAAGAGGAGGAGGAGGAAGGAGGAAGAGAAGAAGGAGAAGGAGGAGAAGAAGAAGGAGAGGAGGAGGAGGATTGGGAGAAATATTCCCTTCCTTTGCCCTACGAACGTTATAAGATCTATCAAAAAATATGGAGTCTAAGAGAAGGAGAACATAGGCCACGCGGAATGGCTGTTCGGTGGGCGGGGCGAGCGGGTGGGCGTGCGGTGGCGGGGAAGGCGATCAGGCGCTGCTGGAAACCGTACCCGACGCCCGTTATCGGATCCGCGGCGTTGGATACGGGCATCCGCCATCGACTCGCATCTCGGGCCAGCCTCACCCGAGGTCTATGGACCCTTCCCCTCCCCTCCCCTCCCTCCACCACCCTTCCTGCCCCCCCCACACCCCTACCTCTCCCCTATCCCTCCTCCTACCCTCCTACCTCGCCCCACAACACGGCGGGTCTTAGGGTTCGCCGTGTTGCCCCCGTTGCAGAGTCTTGCAGCACACAGCATGGACGCAAAACGCGAAAATGCGAGTCGTTAAAGTGCGGCTACAATGTGCTGTAAAATCTCCCAAACAATACAATGTGAATACACGCTCTACCATTCTGCTGGATGAGAGAGAGAGATATAAAAAGAGATGAATGTGGGGGGAGGGGGAAGAGAGAGGAGGAGGGGGGAGGAGGGGGAAGGGGGGAAGGAGGAGGAGAAGAGGAGGATGAGGAGGAGGAAAAGAGGAGAGAGAGGAGAAAGAGGAAGAGGAAGAGTAGGAGAAAGAGGAAAAGAAAGTGGAGGAAAGGTGGAAGGAGAAACGAGAGAGAGAGGAGTAGTAGCGGGCGGAGGACGCAGAGGAGGAAGAGGAGGAGGGCCTCCCACCACAACAAAGGTGTAGCGAAGGACACCTGAGCCAAGTTGCACCTTGCAGCCAGCTCTCGGTTGTCCACCTCTCTCATCCCTCGCCAGCGCACACGCACACTGCCCGGGCACCAACACCCTGCACCCTCACACTTTTCCTATTCTCCTCCTCCTCCTCCTTCTCCTCCACCTCCTCCTCTCCTCCTCCTCCTCCTCCTTTCTCTCTAACCTTGCTTCCACTTCGTTTCTTCTACCTTCTCCTCTTCTCCCCCGCATCTTCATCGCAATACCAAATAGCGTACAAGATTAAGAATGAAAAATAAAAAAGATACCTAGACCTATAACAGATAGATACACACACACACACACACACACACACACACACACACACACACACACACACACA